CTTAAATCCTTTTTTTCTGAATCTGAAGATAGTACCAGAAAATTCATTTTTTTGAGGGTCGGTTATGGCCATAAAAATCCATTATTAAGTACTTAGAATGAATCAGGGATTGTGCCAAGTCATTTACACATATTATCTCATTTATTTCACACCAATCCTGTGAAGTGGAAGTCTACTTACTGTCTGCCACTACAAAATGCAGAAATTGCAGCTGAGAAAGGTTAATAGCATAACCAATATAGACTCCTAAAAGTAGAATGCCAGTGAGCAGGTGTTGAAACTATCATTCAAACCCAGACAAGACTCTAGACTAAGCTTTAAGATTCTATTTCTGACCTGTATCTTGTATGCAAACATAATATCTTTTTAATTTAAGAGATTTTATTTATGAGATTGTGCTTATATATTGTTTTGTGATTTGCTTATTCACTTTACTATATGACATAAAGGTCTATGCTATTTTAATACATGAATAATATATTTTATTTATGTGTATCATAGTTTATTTAATTTCTAGATTCTAAAGACATAGATGATTTAGTAGTTTAGTTTCAAGATAGCAGGGATTTAGCATTGTGGCCTCTAATATGTATTTAATTTAGTGTGTGTCATGTGAATATCAGCTTCTTAGGTGCTCTTGTAAAAATGAGATCAGCGTTTTCTAGATTTTCTTCATTTAAAAGTTCTTATTCATTTGTCTTGACAGCAATTGTGATGTTGTAATTAATTTACTAAGTAGACTTTTATGTTGCAAATACACACATACCTATAGGTATAAATTAATATATCATAATACTTTATGATTGAACTGAACAAATTATTTAATGGGGATGTATTGGTGATGTGTTTGTATAGTCTGAAATGTGACCTTTAGAAGAAAATGTAACTAGACCTTAACAATGGAAAGTTTGAATCAATGATTTCTTGTCCTCTGTGTGTTAAAAGGAAATTAAAATATCAATATATAAGGGAACAATTGTGGCACCTTTATAATTTATAGTGTTGTAAATTTTTGTGATGTCAAAATTATAGCAAATATACTAACAATTCCTTTAAAAGGTAGAGGACATTTTCCAATAATAAATATTATCTGATGGTTTCAGGGAATGGCATCTAGAATCTTAGTGTAAATGTCAAATGTTATGAACTGTGAGAAAGTAGATTGGCATTTAATTAGATTGCAGACCATTTGCCATAATAATAGGAGTGACATTTAAGGGGAGGTTTCAACTTCAATGCACGTTAGTAGCCATGTATAAGGTCAATAGTTCTAGACACTAGGGTTTTATTTTAAGGCTTTGTAAATATACACTTTATTCTTTGTATAATTTCATAAGTAAGTTGGAGACTTGATATTCCTATAATGGAAGGAAACCTACATGTGTGATTGATATTTAAATGATAATATAGAGACATGTGAGTTTAATTTTTTGGTTTTAAAAGGATTATTTAATGGGGATTTTAATGTCATCTACATGGACTACCACTCCATGCTGTATTATATGGTAATAACTTGTTAACATTCAAATATATGAAAGATCAAAGGAAATAAGTCACTTGGAAGAGTTTTTATATTATGTGCAAACAGAGGAAATGTATCTCTAGGGTCTCTTGGACCAAATGCACTTTAGCTATAATACAAACACACCAGTACCTTTGAGTTACCTACCCTCTTGATCTTTAAACAGCCTTCCACTCTTTCCTACCTCTCTTCTTACGTTGTACTATTTTATGGTCACTTCATCCTTTCTTTAAGGTAGCCTTTTTACTTGCTTCCCAGACTTGTACGAGCTTGATTTTCTGGAGGTTATGCTAGGTCAGTAGTCACGTACTACTCTCAGGCTTGTCTAAGAGTCAGAAGGCTGTACTGAGACAGCAATAAAAATAATGGTTATTCTCATTAGGGAATATTTTCAGTAGAAAGTAAAAAATTCAAAGTTGTCAATTAAAGTGGGTCAAAGTCTATATTAGTTATCTGTTGCCTCAAGAATGCTGTGTAACAGACAACCACAAACCCTAAGTGGCATATAATAAGCTTTTCCTGCTCATGCTTCTCAAGTCACCTGGGGTGCTAGCCAGGTGGCTTTGCTGAGCTTGGCTGTGTTTGCTCGCAAGACTGGCTAGCTGCTGATCTAGGCTGGCCTTAATCATAAGTCAAAATTCTCCTCTGTTCTGCATGTCTCTAATCCTGCAGCAAGCTGTCCTGGGCTTGATCTCATGGTAAAGGCAGATGCACAGGGTGGAAAGTGTCCCCATAAGTTTGGCTTACCAAAA